TTGTAGTTGGTGTTACAAGATATTTACCTACCAGATGTTCTAAAAGTTCATATGTCCCTTCATGCTTCAACCAGCACTTCAGAGGACATAATCTTCATGTTGGTGAGGGGATTTGCTCAATAACATTCCAAAGCAGAGTGGACTGATACATGACCATTTTCATCATCTGAGTCAGATGCCGCTAACAAAAGGTTGATTTTCTTTTATAGTTAAGTTCTGTAGTTTCTGTATCCCGGTGTTGCTTTTTTAAGACTTCTGAAAGCAAGATCCACATCTCGTCCCTCTCAGATTTTGGCCAGCATTTAAGATTTCTAAACCTTGGCTTGAGTGCTGTATCTATTTTTAGAAATCTCACATTGGTGCCTTCTTTGTGTTTTGTCAAATCTGCTGTCAAAGTATTCTTAAAATTAACACTTTGAGGATCACCATTCAAAACTGCTAGAACATGAAATGTATGGCAGACTGCAGGTAAAAACACAACAGGAGATTTGCAGTACTTCTTCAAGGAGTGTCCCTGGGGGTGCTCCATCTTAGGTGCACCAGGGCCACTGCTTCCATCAGTCAGAGATTGTTGGTAACAGTGCCCTCCCAGCTGGCCGCATGCGCTAGGCTCTGGCGCAAGATGCCTACTGTGTGTAATGCGCATGCGCAGCCAGCCGGCTCCTCAGTTCTTCTCTGACTGCCACCTGCTTCAGTCACAGATCAGCAGTCCCCTTCACATTCAATCTTCTCCATCCTTTCAGCTACTCAGCTAGCCTTAACTTCAACTAATAGCCACCTGAATGGATGCTATTCACTTGAAAAAATACATACCAAAAAAACAAAAACAAGGATCTCTGTCTGGCAGCATTCCCACCACTTCCTGTGGCCCCACTTTTATAGCAGTTGCCATTGTTCAAAATATTAGTCTGGTCGTGCCCAGCTCTTCTGGCTTTAAAAAGTACCTGGGGTGTGGTCTTTCTATAGTTGTGTGTCTGCTGCCTGGGACAAGTCCATAATACAGAGCGCTGTCTGGACTGCAAGAAACTGACTAAGTGCACAAGAAGAGGTAGGCAGCTACAACTACGTGTGTTGCAGATGGAGACAGCACTGAAACCTCCTTCAGATGGTCCCCTAAACTCTTCCCTCAGGCATAGTCCACCAGGAGCAGAGGCGGGTGAGAGGGGTATTCCAGCTAAAAGCCTGAACACCAAACTGAAATCTCCCTCAGTGAAGAGGAGGTCTCAGACTTCCTCCTGGTCTACATCCCTGGCGAGAAAAGTGACATGTAAGTCATGGCACTTCTGCCTCTATAGCATCAAGGGGGGCAGTTAAAAGTTCAGGTTCTGGCTCACATAAAAGCTGCGACTACAAGCAGGGGCCTCGTCCCTCCTCACACTACTGCACAGCGGGGGCTGATGTATAAAGCTGCTGGTCCAGCACCAGCTAAAATGCTGGCAGGAAAAAAAGCGGGCACTGAAAACCATGTGATCAGCAGCAGCACCGTCAGCAGCATGTGCGCTGCCCACTGAGCAGCTGGCACCGACCAAGTCCTTGAGAGCACCCAGCTTGCTCTTGGTGCAGTGCCTTATGTACTGCTAGCAACAACCCCCCACAGCGCTATACTGCAAATGAGCCCACCTCTTGTGTTTCCGCAGTTCACCACAGCGGCAGAGCTCTATAGCCTCAGTACCAGGAACCCCGCTTTTCAGCACTGATGGCACCCCAGGTAGTTCTAAGTCCTCCTTTTCTGCTACTTCTGGGCTTTATCACCATACTTCAGTGACTCTGAGCAAGAAGACTTACCTCAACCTACTCTGCCTAAGAATTCCTTACCGAAACCAGTACACCCCCAAAAGTGGCAGCAGCACTGGGGACCACCATTCATGCCACTAAGTTGGCAATATTGGGACCCATGAGCTACATTCAGACAACATCCTGTTCCCCAATTGGGGCATCATTACTATGTATCTGCCAAACCTAAACCTCCTAACTTACACTTGTTGGACATGTCTGAATTCTCTGAATGCGAAGACGACATGGAGACCACAGGAGTGGAACAGCCCTTACGCTCCCCCATTCCTATACACACGGCTCCATCCTTGTTGGCAGAGACATTTACTTCCCCATTAATAACCGGTGCGGGGGATAATGTTAAGGACCTTTTTAAGAGGGTAATTGACAAACTGGAAATATCCCTCTTCCATCCTCCGGATACACAGCATAAGTTAACTAACATCCTTCATGACTCAGTGCAGACTAGACTCTCTATACCCATGAATAAGGCATTGATGGACCCAGCTAAGCTTCTGTGGAAAACTCTGACGACAATCCCATCAACATCAGAGACTTGATCGAAAATATTATGTCACCCCACAGGGTGTGGAATTTCTTTTCACCCACCCCCCTCGCTTGTTCATCTCCTCAGCAGAGAGATCTCAGGGATTACCGATCTCTAAACAGACTATCCAAGTGGATCTTGGACTGTATAAGATTAGCTTATGCCATATTCAACAGCCGGCTTCCTTCGGCCGTATGTGCCACTCCATGAGGACAATGGCCTCCTCCACTACCTTCCTCCGCAGCATCCCCATAGACAAGTTCTATAGAGCAGCCACATGGGCTTCCACTCACACTTTCACTCATCACTATGCCATTCAATCGTATGCAGACAGTTTCACTCGATTCGGCTGCTCAGTACTTTCAGCAGCCAAAACAGGCTTTCTAAGGGCTCCGCCTCCAAGCATTGCTCTGTAGTCACCTCAGGTGGAGCACCCATGGGGACACTCCTTGAAGAACAAAGGAAGGTTACTCCAGTAATTGGAGTTCTTTTGAGATAGTTGTCCCTGTGGGTGCTCCACCACCAACCAATTCTCCTCCCCTCTGCTTCAGTTTCTCCTTGGGTCTGGATCAGAGAAGAACTGAGGATCCGGCTGGCCGTGCATGTTCATTACACACTCTAGGGGTCTTGCTTCAAAGTCACTGCTACAGTCTCTTGACTGGTGGATGCAGCAGCGCTGGTGCACCTATGAGGGAGCACCCACGGGGACAACCATCTCAAATAACTCCAGTTACTGCACAGAGTGAGTAACCTTCCCTTCTCCCCCAAGGAGTTCATTCACAAAATTTTTTATTAATAATAATAATAATAATAATATTTTATTTTAACAAGCACCATCAGCGTGGAAGAATGTCCGCTGGAATGGTGGCTGAAGCATGAAAGGATATCTCAATGTTTAGCATATTTGGTACATACATGGCTTGCAACACCAACTACAAAAGTGCCTTGCAAATGCATGTTCTCACTTTCAGGTGACATTTTAAACAGGAAGCATTATCTTCTGTAAATGTAAACAAACTCGTTTGTCTTGGTGACTATACAAGAAATAGGATTGAGAGGACTCACAGACAGGATCTAAAGTTTAAATTGTTTTGGTTTTGTGTGTAGTTATGTAACCAAAAAAAATCTACATTTGTAACTAACACTTTCAAAAATAAAGAGATTGCTCTACAGTACTTGTATAAGGTACATTGAAAATACTATTTATTTTGTTTATCATTTTTACAATGCAGATATTTGTAATAAAAAATAATATAAAGTAAGTATGGAATACTTTGTGTTGTAATAGAAATCAATATATTTGAGAATATAGAAAAAAATATATATAATATTTTTCAATTGGTATTCCATTGTTTAACAGTGTGATTAATAACAATTTTTTTAACTGCTACATTTTTTGTGTAAATCACAGGAATTAACTACAAATTTTCGACAGCCTTAGTGATACCACATTCAGATCAACAGGCTGCCAGTGGAACAAGGATTAGAGATACTACACTGAAATACTGGTTTTTCATTACTGGAATCAGTGCTTTGGTATAGTGAGATGCATGAGATGGCTTTAGAGTATATCTTTAAATGTAAGAAGTTTCAGTATTTAAAGAACAAAATCTTAAATTGTTGAATTGGATAACAGAATTAATTATAGTTTATATACTTAGTCCCATTAACTTCAGTGATAGTTTTGAGTATAAAGCTGAAGATCAGTCCCCAGCTTACCAGCTACATCAGCACTCATTTTAATCTTATACTTTACTCTTTTGGATAAGAAAATGAGAGCAAGGTGAAGTACTACCTGTGGGGATATTGAAGCAGGTTGTTTATGGTGCATTTTCTCATTTGTTTGAAGTAGATTTATTTTCTTTTATTTTTACTTAAAGACTGGCATACATTGTCAAAAGTAACTGGTGATTTTGGGTGTCTCAGTATTTGGGATCTGACTTTGACCCACCATAAAAGGCCATGAATTTTTTAAAAAGCATATTATTGATCATTCCTACAGATGTAGAGCATTATATTCTATCAGTTCTGAATTTAGTTTCATTCCGAACATGTAGTGCAGGGGTCAGCAACCTATGGCTCAGTATGGAACCAAATATGGCTCTTTTCTCATTCCCAAAATACACACAACTCTTTAAATTAAAATGAAAAATTAACTAAACAATTTAAAAATTCATAATTATTTATGTCAAGATTTTTTTTGGGGGGGGGGGCTATTTCACCTTTAATCAGAGATGAAAGTAAGGCAGTGTGCCCAGGTAAGAACCAGCTGTGCTGTGGCGAGAGCCTGCTGAGGGCATGCTGTTGGGGTTGCATGCGTGCTCCCAGGTAGGATAGTGAAAGGGGCTGGCTGTGGCCGCTCAGCTTCAGCACCCATTTGACTGCCACGGTCTGTCCCCAACAACTGTGCTCCTGGGGCAGACTCCAAGGCAGCCTGGCAAACAAGGTCCCAACTGGGGCCCTACTCCTATCTGGCCACAGCATCCTAATCCTGGGATGGGCCCCACAGTTTGGCCACCATCCTGCTGCAATACAGGTAGGAGGGGATGTCACAATCCAGCCGCTGTGATCCTGATCTGGCCCCTCGTCCAGCCACTGCTCTTTGATGTAGTTTGGTACTTTTGTTTGAAAACATTGCCGAGCCCTGATATAATGCTTTTCCTTAACATAAATCCATCAGTGCTATTGGGCATGAGCATGAAGTCCTGCTGCGAGAAATGCTTCTGGAAAAAAATCTCTCTTTCTTAGGTAAGAATCTATAGTAGAATCTAAGTTATGGTAAGATAGCTTCAGTGACTGTTTACTTAAGGAAAAAAGAGAGATCTCAACACATGCTGTGTTATGTAGCAAAGGAAGAATAAAAAATGATTGATGCTGTACATGTTATCTTTTATTGATTTGGAACTGAGCAGGAACTCAGTTACCTAATACCCCATATATACAGCACATGCACTGGCTTGAAATTAATATTTTATAGAATAAGTAACTGAAAAAATGCTTTAATATCTGCTGCAGTATTACTTTTGGTGTCATGAGATATTAGCCATAATCTAAGCCTTATGAGACTTAGAAGGAAAGATGAGAAATATTAGTGGGAAAATGCTTTATATATTAAAGAACTGCCAGAAGAGTTCACTTTTAGCTGTAACTGTGGTTTCTGATGTTTTTGAACTAATGCACTAAATCTTTCCCATTTCCTGTCTTTATTTTAGAAAATGTTCACTTAGATATTAGAGGATGACTTGATAGAAAATTCAGTAAAAGTTTTAAACACGATACAGTAATTAACATTAAATACAGTGGATAACATTTAAAAAATTTATGTATTAAGATTATCAACATAAGAAAGCTTCAACCTAATACAATAGTAAAATATCGTATTCTTCAATCAGATTTCTTATGTAGAAAGATAACAACAGTCCCATCTAATACTAATATCTGTATTGAACAAATAATTTCGTAGCTTTTAGAAAAGAAACAGAAATAGCTTTCTTGATAAATAAAAGTTATTATTGATTTATCCAAAAGTAAGTCATGCCAAATTTAGTTTCTTTCTATAACAGGATAGGATTTTATTGGATAAAGGAATTTCTTAGGACATAGTGTATCAATTCAGTATGATTTCACATATCATAAACTTAGGAAAATTAAAGAAATGAGGATTTACATTACACTAGTAGAGCATGAAATGTGCAATTTTTAAATCTAGCGTAGGAACTTTTTGGTTTGGGTCTGGAAAGGCTCAGTCCTATTTTTTTGACTCTAGTTTGTAAATACTGTCATATAGGTTGGACCTCCCTGGTCCAGCACTCTCGGGACCTGATCAGTCCCGGATGAGGGATTTTCCTGGACCAAGGGAGGTAATTTTGGACCTCCCTAGCCCAGCCACTGACCTCCTGGCTAGCTTCCTATTATCTGTTGTCCTCTCTGCCCTGCCCACCCCGCTGGTCAGCCATTATTGCCCTGGAGCTCCAGGACCCACGGGACAGCCGCATGCACCACCCTACAGCTCTAGGACCTGCAGTGAAATTGTGCATGCCACACTGGAGCTCCAGTACCTGTAGGAAAGCTGCAGCTCCCTGCCCCACTGAGCTACTAGGGCTTGCAACCCCACCAGGTACTCACACACCAGGTCAGCCAGCACCTTGGGCAGCCCCACTGCCATGTGCTGGATGGCCCCGCCAACTCCACAGGGATCCTTGTCACTGGCCTGCCACTGGGACGCTCAGGTCCTTGCAACATCTATTCTGGACCATGGATGTTGCCAGACCAGAGAATCCTGATTAAGAGCATTTCAACCCATAGTGGTAATAAGAATAAAAAATCATACAAATGATATTAAAGACCTCTAGTGTACTTCTGTGCTGGTGAGTATCAGTAGTGCCATGGTTGAGGGGAATTATTCCTGGAGTGTCGAGGCACATATAGGGAGCTACTCTCCCTTAGCTGCCACTGTTGCCAGGAAGCACATGCCTACACAGGTCTCCGTCAACATATGAGATAAAGCGCCTGGACCCAGTGTGTGTCTCATGGACCTAATGAGACTATGAGGAGCACTCCTGCCTGGGGTGGAAAGCAAGAACACTGGACACTCAGCGACCGAGGAACAAATAGCAGCTTCCCTTTATGCTGGGGCCCAACCAGTCAAAATGCCCTGCACTGTCTGGAATCCACTGCGTGAATGGGATTTGGGTTGAGCAGTGGGAAGTGGGTAGGATCCCGGGAGCAGGTAGGAGAAGGGTGGGTGGTGGAGCACCCCAAGAGTTCCAGTTACTGCTGCACCTTGGGCACATCTACACTTGCTTTCACTTTCAAAAGAAGATATGGAAATTCACACTGAATTTCCATATCTTCTTCTGATCACTTTTTCGAAAAAGGTTCTTTCAAAAAAGAAAGTCTGGAGGCGGTTCTTTCAAGAAATAAACCCTTTTTGAAAGAACCGTGTCAACCTAATTTTTTTTTAGGAAGAACGGTCCTTTCAAAAAAGGTTTTGTTTTTTTTTCTCGAAAGAACCACGTCTAGACTACTTTATTTTTCGAAAGACCCTCTTTTGAAAAAAGGGATCAGAAGAAGATATGCAAATTTGCACCAAATTTGCATATCTTCTTTCTAAAGTGAAAGCAAGTCTAGACATGCCTCTTGTGAGTAACCTTCACTTCTTTGAGGAGTGTTCTGGTGGATGCTCCACTTTCAGGTGATTACAAAGCAGTAATCATAAATGGAGGAGGGAGCTTTTGAGAATTTGTGACCGAGAGTATTGTGTGGCCATCTCATTTCTGCGTCTGTAAATGTTTAGATCACATAGTGCTGTGTGAAGATGTTCAGAGCGCCGGCTCGTGCAATCTGGAGTGGCTACTGTGCACATGCAGCCAGCTGCCTCCTCAATTCCTTCTCAAATGCCTTTGGCTTCAGTCGCAGCTCAGCAGTCACCCTCTACTATAGATAGTTTTTAGTGCGTTCTTATAGTGATTTAGATAGTTATTGCCTCAGAATTAGTTACTAAATAGTTACGCCTCAAGTTTCCTTTTTCTTTAAAAAAAAATTGTTTTTCTTTGGGTTACATATTTATTAGGATTAGTTATTTAAAATAGACTCTTTCTGTGGACACTGCAGTTCCAATAAAAACCTCTCCTGCTCTCTGTGATATGCCTGGCTATCCCAGTTTTTAAAAGTGTATGGGCTGCAAACTGTTTTTCTCAATATCTGACGGACATGACCGGTGCATCTGTTGCCTTGGGAAAGAGCACTGTCCTCATTGTCAAAAATTAACAACATATACCAGAAAAGCCAGCGAGCTATAAGTAAAAATGATTCCGCTTAAGAAAAAACCCCCATCTAGCTCTGACCTTGAGCAGGATACCCCTTCCAGTCAGAAATCACCTGGGACAGGTCGGAAAGAGCGGCTCCTCTTGAAATGATCCCAAAGGACCGAGGCAATAGCTACCCCAAAAAGAGTTCCTACTCCTCTGAGACTGATTATCCCATGAGGAAACGCCCTCTCTACAAGAATGCTGCACCCCCACTCCAGCACAGAAGGGATTGGACAAGCAGCCTACAAGTGGGGCTGGCAGCGCTAAGAGCCTTGAGCCCAAGTACAAAGAGAAAGAACGTACTTCACCTCAGAGGGTTCCTTAGTGGCCTCTGAAGCGAAGTACGCCTCCCTGCCAGCACAGGCAAAAACAGCTCCGGCACCAGCAGCAGATCGCCACAAGTGGCACAGTCAAGCTGCAAGTGCTGAGCATCAGCAAAGTCACCATCCAAGCAATTGGCACCGGCCACGCGTAAGAGGCAGCCATCACCTCAAACAACCCTCCTCCTTTTGGTACTAATGGCACACCTAATACTTCAAGGTACAATCTTTCCTCCACATCTACCACTTCAACAGCCCCAGTGTTTAGCAATGAGGAGGAGGAAGTGTCTAAGGTTATGTCTACACTGCACCTCTCTTGCGCAAAAGCCTATGTAAATGAAGTGCAGGTTAGCATATTGCTGTGCTTCATTTGCATAATTAATTGGGGCCAGTTTTGTGCAAGAGGTTTTTGCGCAAAAAGGAGCTGTGTAGACGGCTCCTTTTTGCACAAAAATCCCTCCTTGTGCAAGAGCCATTCTTCCTCTTTTTTTTTTTCAGGAAGAACTGTTCTTGCACAAGGGGGTTTTGTGCAAAAAGGAACCGTCTGCACAACTCCTATTTGCACAAAAGCCTCTTGTGCAAAAACGGCCCCTAATTAATTATGCAAATAAAGCGCTGCAATATACTAATGCACGCTTCATTTTCATAGGTTTTTGCACAAGTGTAGGACGTAGCCTAAGAGATCACATTTGCCAAGACACTCCTTACCCAAAGACCAGTAACAATTACAACATTGGCAACCTGAACAGTAGCTTCCTGCTCTGCTCCCTTTGAACTGGCCATATTGAGACTCATGAGCGGCATGCAAACTACAACAGGGGCAACAACCATAACTGCCATCCCTGACACTGAGGTCTCAGGCACCAACACTCTAGTCTCCAGAACACTATAGGTCAGATGTGGAAGACCAGGAGGTGGACGTTACCAGGGATGAGCACTCATCTTGCTCTCCTCTCTTAACATGCTCCTCGTGTTCACCTCCTGATGACACAATCATGGCCCACCAACAATCAATGAGGATGATTTTGTCATTTCAAGACCTTTTTAAGAGAGTTGCTGAGATTTTAGAGATTTCATTGTCTGACATGCCTCAGTATTCACTGAGATTTCATTGTCTGACATGCCTCAGAAACAGCATAAACTGACGTACCTTGAATGCATATCTCCACATAAAACTGGCAATCTCTATGAATCCCGCTTATGGACCCTGCCAAAAATAGCTGGCAGACACCACCACAATGACACCGACCTCCAAGAGGCCCGATAAGAAATACTATGTTACTCCTAAAGGAGCAGAATTCCTCTTCTTCTTTGAGGAGTGTCCCCATGGGTGTGCCACCTTAGGTGCGCCAGCGCTACTGTGCCCCTGGTCAGCAGACTTCTAGTAGCAGTGCCTAGTGGTTGGCTGTGCACACGGTGCACTGGCATGTGACAGAATGGTCATCCTGCATGCACAGCCACCCTCCTCCTCAGTTCTTCTCAGCGGTTGCCCTAGTTCTCCTCAGCCTTTAGCTCCTGTTAGCTGTTAGTTAGTTTAAGTTGAAAAGTAAATTAGCTTTCTTTCCTTTTTTCACCAAAAAAAAAAGAGAAAATAAGAAAGGGGAAAAGCGAGAATCTC